TCCTAGTAACTCCCAACTTAATAGTGGTTGCTTGCAGCTTTGTTGGGAGTGAATGCAAATTAAAAAAAAAAAAAAATTATATTTTTCATGAAAAAAATAAGGACATATTGATAAAGAACAAACTCAGTTAAAAATTAATTTTTACATTCCTTTATGAATTTGTTGTAAATACTTATTAGATACCCCCCTAATTCAGTGATTGTTATGAAAATAATCAACTATATTCACAAAATCATAACTGACAATAAAATGTTATTTTGACATGGAGACTCACCACTGTCACAGCAGCAAATCAGTAGAACATGCAAAATATTATAATTTTAATATTTTGCATTTTTACTGACTAAAATTTTGATGGTATTTAGTGTAGAAACGGAATGTATATTTTTTCAACAAAATTTTTTTAAAAACATAAATTAGTAAAAAAAAGAAAAAGAAATAAAGTTGTTTTTTTTTTTTTTTTATTTTTTACAAATTTGTTTATAAAAAAAATTAACCAAAAAATATCAATAAAAATAAGTAATGTTGCAGAATAGTGGTGTAAAATAATTTTATTTTTTCGCTTGTTGCACTTTCGTGCTGTTGACTTGCTTAAAGTGGAGACTTTTTAATATAAACAAATGAAATATTTTTTGGCTTCAGTATATAAATTGACTTTCTTATAGCCTGCTGCTACAAGGAAGTGCTGCTACATCGACTATCTTATAGCCTGCCTCTAAGATAAAGTGCCGCTACATTAACTGAGGGTTTGGCATGGGGCAGCAACCTTTTTTTTTTTTTTTTCAGTTAATATTCCTAATGTTTATAAACCCTCCACTGATGAGAGTGCAACAAGCGAAAAAATAAAATTATTTTACGCCACTATTCTGAAACATTACCTAAAAATATATATATTAAACTAAAAACATTCAACTGCATTTTCTATTTGTAGATGTAGTTATTTTATTTCCCCTGCCCACTTTAACTCCTCTCATTTCACTTTCAGTAATCTCTTCCCTTTTTATGAATGAGAGGAAATCTTTTTCCCTAATTTGGGACCACACCCTAAGTAAACTAAAAGATTCGGGCCCTTATTAGCATTTCAATAGCGTACAAATGCTTCAAAAGATAAATGTAAAAATAAAAAAAAGTAACAATTGAAATAGCTGATATTTTAGTTTCATACTAAATTATAAAACCTACAAATCATTTATTTACTACTTACAGAGAAAGGGTGGTGCAGCATTTATTATTGCTGGAATTGCTACAACTTTATTGGCTATAATAAATAACAAAAACATAGAGGTAACCAAATTGAAAATGTAAAACAATTTAAAGCAATCAAACTATTAGTAAAATATCACATAAAATATAATGATACAATTATAATAAAGAATATTAAATTTTTTTTTCAAATCAGTTTCAAAGATAAAATAAATTAGAAATTAAAATCTATAATATGTGATAAGCTGTGGCACTAAAATTAAAATAACAAATGAAATATTGTTATTCAATTTTAAATACCTAGTACAAAAAAATATGTTGAATTAAAAAGTGAAAAAAAAGCAAATGTAAATTTTTTAAGAAGTAAATTTCAAAGATTCTTTAAATTTAAATTGAACCTTATAAAATCTAACTTATAGAATATTGCCACCAGACAATACCACTGTATTAAATAAATAGATTCATGTAAAACACAATTGAATATCTAACATAAAATTATCCAAAACCAATAAAAAATAAAAAAAAAAACTTACTTACATTTATAATAAGGTCATCTTTAGATACTATAAAATTACCAGCCTGTCAAGACAGAATTTCAATACATCGTCTTTTAAAAGGAACATGTTTCGATAAGTAAAATATTAACAAATTAAACTTTAGTAATTTTAAAAACAGATTAAAAATTTAAAAAAATACATACTATTTATAAATAAAAGTATATTCAATAATTATATCATTTATGATAATGATAATAGAATATTTCAGATATTTTATATAAAGATATTTCAGAAATTTATAAAGATAAAATAGGAAATACAAAAAACTAACAGCGTGTACATCTACAACGCCTCGTGCATTGTAGATGTTAAAGGTATTCGAGTTGACCCTCCCAATATTATACGGAGTATGATACTATTTGATAGTTATCTAAACTATTTGATAGTTATCTAAGTTATTCTGTCATTTTGCTAAGTTTTTCTGTCATTTCGGTTTAGAATGTTTTACCGGGGCGTGGTAAAGTAACTGTAAAACTTTATATTTCCTTAATATTATTTATTTTTAACTTTATTTTTTAATATTATAAATTTAATAAATATTCAAAATGTTTTATTTTTAAATATAAAATTAGAATTTTTAATTATGTTCTTAATAAAAACATATTTTTTAAACCCCCTTACTGTTTTAAAAAAGTAAAGGATCATGGCAAGTTCAAATCATCAGCTTTTTTTAATTTTTGTTATTAAAAGTGCAAAACAAAACAACTTTCTTTCTTTCAAAACCAACTTTTTTCTTCAAAAGCGTTTTACTTTGTATTTTAGAAAAATCAAAAAAGATTAAATAATAAAAGTAAAAAATAAAATTAAATAAAAAAATAAGATATTGAAGACTTTATCAAACAGAAATAAGTGCTACAGATCAAATCTTAAGGTGATTATGCCGCAATTCAACTTTCAAGTGAAAATAAAACTAAAAAACTTATATATGTTTAAGTACGTTTTAACATTACATAATTTGAAGTTAGTTATTTGCATAAGTTACATATTTGCATACACTTTCATTGACTTTTCTTATAAAAAAAGTGCTGCTACACTTTCTCGCTATTACTTCAGTTGCAATGGCTGCTAAGAGTGTCAAACATGCTCGAATGAGAAATAATAAGTTCCTTATTAATATATTATATGATTATATTTAATAATTTTATTAATAAATACTTGCTTGTAATTATAAATTATCTGTTTGCCAACCACGCCAGCTTACTGCTATTTTTTTGAAATGCAATTAGTTTTACTGTATCACTGGGTAACCATATTGTTATACCATTCTATTAATGGTACTCTGGTCTTTTCATAATTTGCTTAGTTTTTATGGTTCTTCTTTACACATTGCAGGGTTTGTGATGAACCGGGTGCAATTGCGCCATGCTCTTGAAACACACCAGTAAACAGTATTTTCAAACCTTTTAGACGTGATAAACAACCCTCATTCAGCTTGTAACAAGAGTATAAAATAATGTTTGCCCAAAAGTTTGGTGCGGAACAAATTGTATATTGTTTTTTGATTTAAATATAATTATAATAAAAATTATATAATAAAATAATTATAATAAAAATTTTTAGTTAAAGATATAATATTAATGAAGCACTTATATAAAATATAAAAAGCACTTATGTCACTCTCTTTCTGCAAGTTTCTGTTTTGCACTAACATATTTAATCAACGTTTTAAAGTCATTAATAGTCGCTAATTTCAATAATGGAATGTTAACTACTTTAACCAAGTGAACATGGAAACAACGCGAATATAAAAATTAAATTGTTCTTCAATACTAAATCAATAAGAACTTGCACTTGTATTTTTTTTTTGATCTTGTTTTGTTTGTTTTTTTACCATAAATAGTTAAAAAAATTGCAATCTGGTGCAGCCAATATACAAAAAGTTGTGAAGTGTCAATATCTACTTTGTTTTACATAATGTCATGAGTAGGCTGTTGTAAATACTACTTCAAACATTTGTTAACTAAAGAAGGATGTATAACAAATAAAAAGCTTTTTATAAGCACAGTCTTCAGCAATTTTCAAATTTTAAAATCACTCTCGCCAAGGTTATCTTGAGCATGCATAATCATGCTCAATGACAGCATATTATATTTTTACGAGTGTGATATAACACACTTGGTAATTTTTTTCGTCACAAGCCCTGCATTGCTTATATAAATCAAGAAAGTTTAATTTGCTCCAAAGGCAAATTTTGTTCAATTTATTCCAAAGATAATTTTTTAACTGTATTAGAGTTTCCTTTATTTCCATGCACAATGCTAAGAAGCACTTAATGCCTGCAGATCCACTGACATGCACAATGCCCACGGAAGCACACGGTAGGAAATCTGGAGTTTTGTGAACATTTTATTTTGACCTTGTTTGTTTTCATCTATGGTTAAAATACATTGTCCTTGTTGATAAGTAAATTTGCTATAAATAAAATAGGTTTGCTAATTAATAGGTTTGCCATTGTTTGATTAAAAATTTGGTGTCAATTTCTGTTGAGTAGAAACACTGGGAAGCTGGTAATTATTTCAAATTAATTTTTTAGTACCAAGTTTTGTATGTGTCATCAAAAAAAAATTACCCTTTCCTCTCCTTTCAGTGACATAATTTGTGACATAATTTATGGGCGACCCCTAAAGTGCTCTTAAAAGCAAAATGTTCAAAAGCATAAAGAGCTGAAAAATGTATCACCAATACTTGAGGTTTTCATACAATGCTAAAACTTTTTTTTAAAAACAGTTTTTTTAAAGAAAACTAATCTTAATTACAAAAAATTTGATTGACTACAGAAAAGTTTCAGTTGATTGAATACAAGTTTTTATTTTTAATCACATGAATCTTTTGGGTTTTTTTTTTTTTATTGGTAAATTCTAACCACATCATTTATAGCTATGGACTATTATAGTCCATGGCTATAAATGTTTTAAGCTGAACAGCTTTCCTGCAATGAAATTTGCAGAGGCTTTAGTTTTTGATTTTGGTGGTGCAGTTGGTACTAATGTAACTTGTACCAATTGCACTCAATGAATTGAAGAGGGTGGAGGTGGAGGGCTTATAACTTACCATAATCATTTATTTTTTTGAAATTTAAACACCAATGTTCAGAATATACAAAAGTATATTTGCTATCAGGAATGTTTCTTTTTGAAATAGCAAGTAGCTACTTTCTATGTTCTTCTCAATCTTTTGGTAATCTGTAAACATTTTTTTTTTGTGATGATGATGATGATTAAGGCAAAAATTTTTCTTTAGATTAAGTGCAGCTTCTTTACTTAAAATCAGTTCAGATATCGAGGTTTTATACTCAAAGAACAGCAGAAATAGTAAATTTTTTTTTCATGTGTGTGTTTTGGTTTTAAAGTTTATAAATAATTTTTTAAATGCACTTTTTTGCTATATATTATTTTAGCAATGAATGAAATTTTGTATGAATTAATATTTGACGCATGTGTGACACCTGTTCAAATGCCAGAAAAACTTATACTTGAGTATATGTCTGTAGTGGTTGCTGTTCAAAGCTTAACAAATAATGAAATTAGTAAGTAAAATGGTATAATTTTCTTTTGATGTAAAAAAAAAAGAGTTGAGTGTAAATTATATTAAAAATTATATAAAATTGAATAAAAATATATATTGAAGTGAAAGGCTTATATGCATAATACTGCAAAATGTTGACTTGCTTAAAAAACTCAACACTTTGACTATGGACATAGATTAAATATAAATGCTTTTGTAAAATTGTTTTTATACATAATAATTAATAATTATACATATTAATATACTAATTTAGTTAAAAAATTTATTATTATTTTTTAGCTCCATACTTTTTGGAAATGCTTTGCATAAAGTTTGTTGAAATGCACAAAAATTTAAATTCTGAGAAAAAAGAATGCAATAATATACTTTTCATGTTATCTTCTTTGTATAATCTAAAGGTTAATTTTTTTCACTTATAAGACAAAAAAATTTTAAATCTATTTTGCTACATATTTTTTTAGCTATATTTGAATAAATGAATGAATAGAATGAGTTTATAAAATGACTGAGTGAAATTATTGTTGAATATGTTTTTCTAGTTACAAAATGTTATGTTTCCTAATCTTAGTATTTTCTTTGTTTGAATATTTCCACAGAATTGTTACATTAGTATTTTATAATTCTCTTTACGTTTTAATTGCTCAGTCTAATTTAAGTAATGCAGATTTCCTGCATAACATTACATAATTTTATGCTGATGTTTAAAATTTATAAATAAAGTTGATAGAAGTTGTTATTAGGTAATTTTTTATTATAAGAAAATGATTTTTTTTTTTTTTTATTATTGTAAGGTTGTGGATAGTCTACTGATATTTGATATTATTCGTTTCCTTATAAAAACATTCACAGAACATGATATTGAAATGATTCTATTGTTATTGAAAGGTATGTGAATCAATTTTTTTAAATTTTTTTTTTACATAATGAAATGTATTTTTGTTGGACTTCTCATGCATTTCTGTACTCTTCTTCCCCTTTATTTTTTATAACTTAGACTAATTAGGGAGAAAATAAACAACTTGGACCAGAAGTTTTTTTATTATTATGTTTTATATTCATATATAGTAGTGTAACCTTATGTGTAAAATCAAGTTTTTTCCCTGTCATCCATCAGAAGACTAAAATATTTCTTATGTCTATAAGTTGTCTGGTATGAATATCAGTAGTCCGTTATCAATTTTTTGATACTTTTTCCTAACAGGGAAAAACTGGAAAAAAACGTTAAGCATTGTTAATGATTAACGCACCTATTCGCATTATTCAAAATGAAATTATAACATTTAAAAAAATGATACTGTAGCATTTTGAATAACAAAAAAATTTGATTTTGAAACACTTCTTTTTTTTATGTTTAGTAAAATTACGTAGTGTATAAAAATTATATAATTAAACGTAGTCTATAACTTTGAATGCTTTTTAAAGATTTCTTTAAAATTATGACGAGGATTTAAATCTTCATATTTCAAAATTTTTTCATTAAACTTTTGTCAGTCTACTGACTGTTACCTTTTCTTAACTTCAGTTACTCTTTGTGAAAATGAGTCATTTGGTACCGTCAGACACCAGGCGTTACATCCTTGATATAGTAAATATAGTTTTTTTAATTTGATATAGTTAATATATAATTATTTTAATTTCTGTTTTAAAGCTTAGTTGTACTTATAAAGAAAAAACTTTTAAGTTTAGCAATGTTGAAAACACAATATATTATTCTTCAAATAATAGCAGAAAATGTTTATTACAATTAGCGATTCCTATTATTTTTTACATTCCATTTTTTCCACTTGTTGGTTGGAAAAGAAATTACTAGCTGAAGATCATCCGGTAAAGTTAGGTGCTGATGCAATGTATTCACTTGACCATAATGTCTATCTTTTTATGGATGAGATGCCATGAAATTTGTTTTTGTTATTACAAAAAATTTTTGTTTCAAAATTTTTAATCAAGAACATAAACCCACCTAACAATAAAATGCAATAAAATACATTTACATCAAGAAATTTTTTCAATGCAAAACTATTGAAAACTAGCCCTGCACTGGAAGAACTAAAGTTAGAACTGAAAAGGTTAATTGATATAAGGATATTTCAAGAACTTGCAAGACTGTTATTGAACTAAATACAATTATAAGTCAGTTTCATGGCACAAACCTGGACAGTTAATAAATGGTCAAAAATCCTTTTTTCTGACGAAACTTATGTTATTAAAGACAGAAATCTAAAACATTATTCAATAAGAAATGCTCGGAAATGCTTAAATTGTGACAATGTTGGTCCCATTCATTTGCTAAGAAAATACTAAAAACCAGAAAGTATTATTTAGACATCTTGAAGAATGTTATGTTGCCATATTCAAAAGGTGACTTGCAAATGGAACTTACAACAACATCCAAAACATTCTTTAAAATAAATTTCAAATTATTATGCTTAATCTGTTTAGTTATAAATTTCAAATTATTATGCTTAATCTGTTTAAGTCACAAAAAAGTTATTGAAAAAATTTTTCACCAGTTAAAATAAAGCTTGATTAAAAAAAAAAAAAATTAATTTTAAATCACAAAAAATTCTCTTGAATAACCTTCACAGAGTCCAGATTTCAATCTTATTGAGTATCGTTGGAAGTGCATCAACCTGCAGTTAATTGGTAGAAAACCAACAAAGACCATTTATTTGCTTTGATTGAAGAATGTCGGTATAAAATTTCTTCCAATTTCCTTATTAATTTAGTTAATTTGGTGCTTTATTGCTATGATGCTGTTTTGAGGACAAATGGACGCAAAAAACTATTGTTATTGAAACTTATTAAAAAATTGGAAATTTTTTATGATTTTTTTTATTTTATTTAATAATTTATATGATTTTATTTTACTTTACTTTTGAAATTAATTTTTATCACAGTTAAGTTGCTTCTAAAATTTTTGAATTTTTCGCAAGGAATGGCGATGTTCTTTTTTTGCAAAAATTCTTTGTGAGGAAGTCTTTTTTGAAAATATTTTCATTTTACAATTATAACTAATCATTATAATTTATTATTTTTTGGGTTTATACTATAAATTGAATTAATATTAACAGATAATATTTGGTAAAAAATTTAGCTAATTTAAGAAAGTTGGTGAAAAGTTTCTAGTCCAAAAGCAAACCAAAGTTTTTTTTATTCCATTATAGTCCCACAGTTTTTTTTTATCCCACAATATCAGTTTGATACTTAAAAGGAAAAAAAAAATTGCACTTACTAATAAATGGTTTGTCAGCTGGTCAATATAAACTCCCTTTATATTGACCATGAAGTTTAGCTCGAAAGGGTTATTATTTTACCCCAGAAGGTAAAACTTTTACAAATTAAAATACAGTTTTAGGTGATTAAGAAAATAAAAATCTAAAATCAAAAAGCGGGGCAAAGTCGGGGTGAGTCCCCCTCAAGGCTGTATTATTAGTTCTGTTGCCTCGAGGCAATAGAACAAATAATTTACACCAAAATAATCAGCAAAAGGTCCTTATATCACAGTGTATTCATATAACCCTATTTAACATGAACACAGTAGGTATTGCGTATGCGTATATATATCTTGTTGTATTGAAAGAAAAAAAGATCAATTGAGTAGAAAGAAAGCAACAGAAGCCTTGCTGCTTATTTCTTTAAAAAAAAGAAGAACATTAAAAGCAATCAGATTAAAATTTGGATGACAAAAAAAATAAAAAGTTAACTACAGAAATAATTCTAACATCGTATACTTTTGCAAAAAAGTAGACACTTTATAAATAAAAGTATTCAATGACATATTCCTCAATTAAATCAATCACCAATTATGTAGTTGTTTCTAAAACTTAAACTCGAGCTCAGCGTATTGCATAATTATGCAAGCTTACCTATGACTGGAAAATTGCATAAATTGGAATGCAGCTTTAAGATAAAGAATTTTTGATACAAGAAAAATTTATATATATTTATATGTGTGTGTATATATATATATATATATATATATATATATATATATATATATATATATATATATATATATATATATATATATATATAGCATCTTATTCGCAACTTTTGGGGACATGTTTGTTTTTTTTTTCCTGTTCTGTTGTTTTTTTTTTTACTTTTTTATATTATTTTTATCATATTTATATAATCTTTTAACTTTTATTTTTATTTATACATATTTAAATTTATTATTTCATTATAAAAATGTATTTTTTATATTTTTGTTATTTTTATTTATTTATTTTATATTATATTTCATTTTTAACTTCATCTATTTACAAAAACAATTAATTACAATAATATAACCAAATTTAAACCTTGCTGTAACTCTAACCCTAAACCTGACCTTGATGCCTGGCCTACTCAAACCCTCAGTCAATGTAGCAGTACTCCCTTGCGAGTCAGGCTATTTGATAGTTGATGTATGTACTTTACGTTCTCTATAAAAGTTTCTTATGTGTACATTTTTTTACAAAAAAAAATAATGCTTACGGAGACAAAAAATTAATGGGTGCACTAAAATGTTCCTGATAATGCCAATGTCCCCGTAAGTGTTCGTTTTTTGTAAAATCTGTCCCCTAAGTGATAAAGTATACAAATAAATAAATATATATGATCACACCACTGAATGGAAATGTATTGAAACCGGTGTACTTCAGGGTAGTGTTCTAGGCTCAATCCTGTTCATTCTATTTATTTCCGACATTAATGTCTATTTTTCACCTTAAACCATCCTCAAAAAATATGCTGATGACATACTGACCTATATAATTAATAAAGTTCCTCCAAACCTACCTCAATCCATTGTTAATGGCATCGCTCTTTGGTCTATGGTAAACGGAATGAAACTTAATGGCCCTAAATGTAAAATCATTACAATTATTCCTAGGTGCTCCGAAATTCAAGCTTTACCATCCCCTGTACTCAATAATACTGAACTTGAAATAGTCAGCAGCCACAAATACCTTGGAATCATGCTCAATGAGAATATTGATTGGAATGAACAGTGGAAAAAAGTTCACAACAAATTAAAATCAGTGCTATATCTACTCAAACGTCTTAAACAACTTAGACACACTCAGTCAAACCTTTTACAGGTCTACCGATCTTACGCTATTACCCACTTGATATATAGTGCTCCTATTCTTACTTCATGCAGTGCTGCTGGAAAAAGAGAGACCCAACATTTTTATAAAAATGCCCTACAAATTATTGGAATTGATGTAACCAACTCAAACAGCTTCAATATTTTTTAATGATAAGAAATAATTATTTAGTTATTTTGATGCCTCATTACTGTAATGCTGTCTTTAAACTAAAAGGATACCAGGATAAATGGATACCAGTTACTATTAAATTATTACTACTATAGTAACTATAACTGAAGTTTATAACTTTTCAAATAATTTTGTTTTAGCATGTGGAGCCGATATTAGGCGAGATGACCCATCATCCCTCAAGGCAAGTATAAATGTTTAGAAACGTTGAAAATGATTTTTTTTTTTTTGTTTCATGTTTTTTAAAAGTTTGTAATTTTAGGAGATAATCCTTGAAGTTCAATCAAAGGCTGCATCATCTGAAATAAAAGATTCGTAAGTTTTTTTAACAAAAACAGTTATAAAGTTAATTATTTTGATATATGTAACAATTTTTTTCAAGAACTTTTCTTTTACCAAAACTTTATAACATTATTAGTGGATTAAAGATAAGGGATGAGTGGTATAATATTGAAAATAAAAGGATTTGTTTGTCCTACCTAAAAGAAGAAATTATGTGACTAAAAATATATATATATATATGCTTTAACTTATTTTTTAATTTTTTCATATCAAATAAATTTATGAAAATGATAAAGTGGAATATAAGTTACATTAAACGTTTTAAAGAGAATTTTTGTTTTGAAAATAATTTTGTTTTATGAAATAAATAAAAACCATTAATTTTATTTTTTTTTTATGTAAATATTTCTTTTTTATAAATTTTAAAACAATTTATTATAACGTTTTTTTGATTTGATTCAGATCTCGTGTAAAATTTATGCTTGACATTATCAATGCTTTGAAAAACAATAACATGAAAAAAATTCCAATGTATGATCCTTCCCTTTTTGAAGACATGAGGAAATTACTGAAATCTTTAAGTAAAGGTCGTGCAGGTTTGTTTATTAATAATTTTCACCCACTTTTTTTTGTCAGTTGTCAGATTGTATATTTTTTAATTATTAAATTTAAATATGATTTTCAAAAAAGGTATAATATAATATTTTTAAAAAGCAATTTAATTTTTAAATTTTATTTTTTTTATAATTATTAAATTTATAATTATTTAATTTAATTTTTAAATTTTAAAATTTTAATTTGTTATTAATTACTTATTTATATATTTAACAATTTTTAGTTAGGCGTGACTATCTTAGCTGTCCATTAAGGTAGACATAGATTGGGTGGTTATATGAATTGGAAGCAAATAGACAGGCTTCCCACCAGTCCTTGATAGTCCTGAAATTTGAAAGTAGTCCTGGAAAGTTCTGGATTTTTTTAGTTATTCTGTAAAATCCTGAAATAGTCCTAGAAAATGGGATAATATTTTATATTTTGTTGTTTGTTTTTAAGTAAAGAATTTAAAAAATTATAGATTAGAGCAACTATATTACTATAATTTACTATAATTAGTATTGTAGTTGTATTGTTATTGTATCGTTTTTCTTTACTTAAAAACAAACAACAAAATATAAAATATTATCCCATTTTCCAGGCTTGTTATCCCATTTTCCAAATGGCTTGTTAAAGATCAATATAAACATTGGTTGCGTAAAAAAACAGAAACTGTAGTGATTTGCAGTTATTGTGCTAAAGACATTAATATTGCTAACATGGAAGAAGCTGCTTTAACTTCACACATGAAAGGTATAAAGCACATATAGTGATCTCGTTCTGCTAATAATATCAAATTATTGATGCCAACTACTCCTAACACTGTTCAAGTTAATGAGTATATGCAGTGCTCGAAGTGGGGCAGGATACCATTTCATTACCTTTTTATAAAGTATAAACCATACCGCCACCTTTTTATAATATATATCTCTATATATATATCTCTATATATAACAATGATTAGGCAGGATGGTATTTCTAATTTATCGAATACCATTGCGTTACTTTTTTTTCTCCTCTTCGAACACTGAGCAAAGAATCCAATATTGATAAACAACAGAGTCGAGAGAAGAAAAAAAACTCCGTCGGAGTCGAGAAAAAATCAAAGTTTCGATAATATTTTATAATTTAAAAAATTAAAATATCTAGTTAATAATTAAACATTGTTCTTGTATGTTTTATTTTTATTTTATATATTTCAATTTATAATTTATTATAAATTTTTAAAAAATTTATATTTTTATATTTCTTAGTACTTAAATATTTTTTTATCACAATTTTCAACAAACAAGTTTAATCTAATAAATGACTTTCTAACTTTCAGTTAAATGCCTATCCGCAGTGCTCTTTAATAAAAACTTATGTGATAAGTTACCATATTTTAAGTCATTAATTAAGTTATTTAATCTAATAGGTAAACATAGTCAAACATTAATTATTATCACTTTTTGTCACTGACAACATTTTATTACACAATTTTGCCACAATACACAGTGGGTCGAATATTAGACTTAAAGTGGACAAAGCTATTTTGATCATATGACACTACTTGTGCTAAATAAAATTATTATGTTTAAAATTTACCTCTTTATTTTAAGACCAATTTTTGTATATATATTATAAATAATGAACTTGACTAAATATATTTTCTTGTAAAGGTAAACTATTGAATAGTTAAAATATATGAACTAATATCACATACACATAATATTTTAAAAGTTACTTTTTACTATATCTTTATTTAAAAGTTGAAAAATTCTTGCTTTTTTTGACAAAAAAAAGGTATTTCATTATACATAACATTCACAAATACTTATTATTCATATTACATTTTATTATATCGCAATTGATTTTTGTGCATTTAAAAAGGTACTATTATTAAAAAGATACTATTATGCTCAAAAGAGTTTTTGAAATAGCACACTGGAAAAGTATGAGTACATTTTATTATATGGTTTTGAATAAAATAAGCTTTTTTTTCAGGTTTTTTCCACCGCCACCACCTGGCCCACTGTGCATTACCAATTACTTTGCAATATAAATTAGTGTTGTTATTGAACAAAGAGAACACTTAAATTATAAAAACAACAAGAATTATTGTAAAAGCAAATAAAATAAGAATTTAATTATTTTACGTATAAAAAATTGATATTTTCTAAAAACTTTGTCGAAGTTTGTTGATCTCTCTCGAACTTCAAAAAACCGAGAAAAATCTGACAAGAGTTTGTCAGAGTTCTCAGTGCCAATGGATCCATTCGGAGTTCCAAATGGATCCATTGGCACTGAGTATATGTCAGAATGCTCAAATAAAGCAGAACATCAAAAAACAATTGATAAGATGCTAATAACTACATCTATATTTAAAACTGAGTCCTTAATGTTGTGTATTTTAAATATTCATCTTTAACTGATTCTGGTAACTTATTTACTAAAATGTTTCCAGATAGTGACACTACTAAGTTGTTTCAACGTGAACCCACCAAGGCTAGTTATATTGCAACATTCAGATTAGCTCTTCTTTTTAAAAAAGAATTGCTAACTTTCCTATCTAATACACCTTATTATGCTGTTTCATTTGATGAATCCGTGAACCATGTTTTTCAGAAGGGTCAAATGGACCTTTTAGTTAGGTTTTGGGATGACAATACGAGTATGGTTAAATATCGTTATCTTACAGGCCAAATGTATATTGGAATCTGTGGTCTCCATATCTTTCATGGTAGTTTTAAAGCAGGGGCAAAAGCAAGTGGCTGGGAGCTAAATAATCTATTAAAAGCAATGTAGCAATTTCTACATAACTCTCCTAGTATAAGAGCAACCTATGAAAACATCACTGGCAAACTTGATTATCCAATGTAGTTTTTTTTTTTGCATAGGTGGTGTGAAAATGAAAAATTAGCTCAAAAAGCTGAATCACTACTTGATGGATACAAAAAGTTTATAATATATTTCAGTAATCTTAAAAAAAGCAAACAACCTGATTTAAAAAATAAAAGCTGGGGGAAGCTAAATGCCATGGTTCACGATCCTGTTTCGCCAGGTAAACTTAAATTTTTTGAGATGGTTTTTGAAAAGTTAAATAGTTTTTTGAGATTCTTTTAAACAGAGAAACCTATGGTTTTATTTATGGCTATTATACTTGGTGAAATAGTTGACTCAGGAACTTAAAGACGTTTTAAATAAGTATAGCAATACCAACAGCTTAAAATAAATTTAGAAATTTAGAATAAAGAAGCCGAACGATTTTTTCTGATACATTTGTAAAGACTTTCTCCACTATTTTTGTCAAAAGTTTCAACTGGAAAAATTAATTTAACTATGATTTGAGCTCCGCGAGCTTAATGAACTCAAGTATGAATTTTATAACATGAATATTTTTATTGGCAATTAAAATTGTTTGTATGAAATAATTGTAAAAAATTTTTTTCTGTCTATTTTTTTTTTGCCTGCCCATGTTTCATACCAAATTTATATGATAAATGAAGGAGATATTCCATAAAACGGATATATCAATAAAGTGGATATAGCAATAAAGTGGCTGTAAAGTAAAATTCGCCATTTTCAAAAAAATCTTTTTTTCAACGTTACTTAGCTTCATTTAAATTAATAGATTACATTGCATTAAAGAGTTAAATGAAGTTAATGAATTAAATGAAATTGATATTGGATATGCTGCTCGGTTAAAAATTGATGAAGCTAATTTAAGTTACAGTGACCAAAAAGTGGTTGTATTTAAAAAAGAGGCAGGCCAGTTTTTAAGCTGGTCTGGTGACATATCTCCTTGAGAAGTCCCATTTGAAGTTTGTCATAATACGTACTGCAGTATCTATTAACCCAATTTTCATTTTAAATCTAAATAAAAAGAATACTTGTATCAATAATTTTTTAATTCTGTTGCAAAAGTTAGTTAAATATGGCCGTAAGTCACCAAAGTCTGCCGAAATATTTTAAGTTTTTAGATATAGTAGACTCAAATTGAAAATCATTTCAATATTTTGATATTAAAAATTTTGTGGCTGGATAGCTCAGTTGGTTAGAGCATCAAACGAAAAGTTAAAACCCAGACTGTTGTACAATATGGGTTCAAATCCTGCAACCTCCAACTCAGCGCTTGAGTAGTACTTCTGTATGCAAAAATGTTGGTCTATAACGGACGCTACTTTTGATTAGTCTTAATGATTATTTGTGGTTGTTCCTATGCTAAGCCAACAATATCTTTGGATATAACATTGTATAGAAAAATATGAAAGTTAAAAAAAAAAAAAACAGTCTTGATCATTTCTCTGACTTTATTGAAGCAAATAAAAGTTATCAAGATGTTTAGAGCTTTTTTAAAATAGTTTTTGTGCTGTCACATGGACAATCTTCCATTGAGCGTGGCTTTAGTATTAGTAAACAACTTCTTGTCAATAATCTAAAAAAAAAATTCCTTATTGTCTTACATCTTATTGAAGATTGTTTGTCTTCTTTTGAAGAATCAACTGGTAGTATCAAAATTAATATAGAAATGCTGAAAAATGTAAAACAAGCTATTAGTCAATATAAAGAGCATTTGAAATCATAAAGTTAACAAAAAGAATGTAACAGTAGGAATTTAAAGTGACTTTGGTCAATGAGAAAAAGAGCAAAGTGCAGAATCTTGCAAAATGAAATAACTGTAGTTAATGCAGTAAATGCAGTAGTGGTGTAGTGGTAGAGCTCTTGCTTCATAAGCGAGAGGTTCTGAGTTTGATCATTACCACGTCCCTGGTAATACCGTGCTCATCTTGTTTCCCTGCACAGCGGCCTTGTTTGCCAAGGTTCTTGTTATAGAGTTATAGAGTTGAGAGACAGTTACAACCACAATTAAGAAGTCCGTAGTGGCCTTCTCAGCCTAGAGGAGGTGAATTAACAAAAAAAAAAACTACTTTGATAGAACAGTCTAATATGCTAGATGCTAGCCATAAATGCAGAAAAGCAAACTAGTTTTGTTTTTTGAAAGAATCAAATGAAAAAAAGAAACTCTGTTGAGAAAAACAAAAGGAAATCAAGGATTTGTACAATATAGAAAAAAAGATGACTCACAAAAATAAATAATTTCACTGCTTAATTTTAAAAGCATATTTTTGTACACATAGTTCTTGAGTAAAGTTTTTGTCTTTGTTTTGTTGTTTTACTAAAACAATATTTATATTATGAGTTTTTGAAATTCTTCTGATTTTTTTGAAGTTGGTTACATTAAAAGTTTCTATTCAAATAAAAAATAATTCCTTGGAAAGTCCTGGAGTTTATGACTTTTTTTTTGTAACTCCTGGAAAATTCCTGGTATAAAAGATATAAAATATAAATGATGTAAGAGATATAAAAAGTTAGATTTTGTTGTAAAAACTTGAAGACTAATAATAGAGAGAAGACTGATTGATAATAGTGAGAAGACTGATTGATGTTCAACATTTTTTGAAGAGTGTAGAGAGCATTAACATAAGAACCCATTTATAAGACTCTGATAGATACATTGTATGCATAGGCTGTAGAAAAATTTAAGTGAGCAATAAGGCTGTAGAAGAATTTAAGTAAACAACAAGAACCAGTTTAACTAGGATGTTTAACAACAGGTTAAACCTGTCTCTCTGAGATGTCAAGAAGAATAAAATCATTAGATTCGAGAAATGAGTAGAAAAAATGTTCTTAGCAAGTGCTTTTAGTTTGTCTTAAGAAGTTGTGGTCTTTGTGTGATCTAAGTTACATGGATGGAAGTTGTGGTCTATTTGACCTATGCATAAAAGATAGAGTGTTGCATAGAATTTTTTATAAAAAATTATATAGAAGGTGCAATTTTCAGTATGAGAGATGGTCGTAATGTAGGGCCATAGACAAAACACAATTTAATTAAATATTCAATAAGTTGGTACAAATAATAAGTTTTATTTTGGTAATTTTAAATTTTAGAAAAATTAAGAAATTAATCAATCAAAATTGAAAGTTTGAAAAATATAAACTAATGTAAATTCAAATAAATTTGAAGTCATCCCTTTACTGTAATGTTAAAGGGATGCACATAGGTTAGAGCAATTTATGTGTATTTTTGGATAAAAATGTTTGGAATATTGCTTTCTTTATACTTTAAAAAAAAACTGTTTTGTGAGAAGAGTTTAGATAAATTCCAGTCACAAATGAATTTTTTTGACAGAATTTTGTCAATTTTGTCAGTTGTCATTTTTTAATTTTGGAGTCTGTTTATTGAATAAAAAAAGCATTTGGAATTAGTAAGTATTTTACATGTCTATTTGGCTCAAATTCATTTTTATGAAAAAATTAATTTAAAAATTTTTTTTAATTAATATAAATTTAAAAAAAAAATTTTTAATATTAAAAAAACTTTGAACAGGAGACTTTTTATCTGAAAAAAATTTGGGCTACTATTTTTCATTATTATGTGATCTTTTATTTGTTACTATATCAAAGGAATTTTTTGCTTCAAACTATTGTCAAAATAAATAGAAATAAATTTTATACTACTACGCACGCACGCGCACACACACACACACACACGTACACACACACATACATACATAAATACATACATACATACATACATACATACATACATACATACATACATACATACATACATACATACATACATGCATGCATGCATGCATGCATACATACATACATACATATACACACACAAATATAGACACAAACATATGTGTATAAATAAATCTACTACACACACATATATATGTGTATATATATGTAAATATATATGTATATATATATATATATATATATATATATATATATATATATATATATATATATATATATATATATATATATATATATATAGCATTATATAATTTAATATTTAGAGCAACATTGCTGTTTAAAAGTTCCACTTGAGGATTTACTTAATGCTAAAGAAAAAGGTAATTCATAATTTTTTAAATAACTAATTAAAAATTCTAAAAATGACAATTAACCATATTTAAAATTTTATGTGCTCTAATACTATTTAGTTATACATAAACCCATTTTTGTTAATTTTTTTATATAAATATATAAATATTTTAAGTATTATTAATATTTTTAGTATTCAATTTATTTGGATTAAATATATATATATATATATATATATATATATATATATATATATATATATTTGATTTAAACTAAGACAAGGAAGATGAATTAAATATATGGTCAGCTAGAGAATTCCATGATTTAGTAATTATTTTGAAAAATTCCTAAATATTATCTTTGTCTTTGTTACATAAAATAAATTTTTAAGAATGACATCTTGTTGAATAGTGAGAAGGAGTTTACTGAAAACAGTAAAGTTTGAATAGTAACTTGATTGAGAAACAGAATCAATGGCTTTCTTAAAGTCTATATAAACAGTATCTACTATCTTATTGTTATTAACAGAAGTGATCCACTCATTTGAGGATGTCAACATTAGTGCTCAAGTAGATCTATTCTTTAAAATACCACATTGATACACAAAGTTTATTTTACTTCATTAAATTTTTTTTTCTGTCAAGACCATCTGCAAGGTTGTCTACATCATCTACAATGATGACAGGTTAAAAAACTACTTGATGAAAATCTTTATCAAGTAGTTTAAGACATTTAAGTCTAATATCTTTTGCAGCCAAGTTGCAATCATGGCAACCGTTGCCAAGTGGCAACTGATCTGGAGTTATAAGGTTGAGAAGAGGAGCTGATCTGGAGTTATAAGGTAGAGAAGAAATCACTTCAGAATTTTAAGATTTGATCCCTATCATGTCCATGGTACCATGCTTAACTTATTTCTTCACAAAACAACCTTGTTCATTAAAGCTTGTGTTTTTAAGTTAAAGGGTATCAACAATTAAAAAAAACTTTGACTGTTATTAAGGAATGCAGTAACAAATTAATAAAAAATTTAAGGGTGATATTAACATGTTAAGCCATGTCTAATTTCAAGTTTAACATATTTGGTTTTATATACTTTTTTATATACTTTTTATTTAAAAATAATAAAATTGTTAGAAATTTAAAAAAATGTGGTTTACTTTAATGTTTGATTTATTATCAATATGTTATTACTAATTATTATTATTATTATTATAATCAATATGTCATTACTAAGTTTTTAACAAAATTTTCAAGTAATCTTAAATAGTAGACTTTGTTTCATGACAAAGATGCATTTTTTCATTCAGTTAAATACTATATATATATATATATATATATATATATATATATATATATATATATATATATATATATATATATATATATATATATATATATATATATATATATATATATATATATATATATATATATATATATATATAATTATGTAGTATTACAATGAAAAAAATACAACTTTTTGTTGGTACTCAGAGTTTCATGCCTGGCGGCAATCATCAGCCATATATATATTTTTTTAAATCAAGAAATTAAAAAACTGTTTAAAATACAAATTAAGCAATGCAATGGGATCTGACGTCAAAACATCGACTACACGAAGTCTACCTTTAGCCTGTGTCGAATTGACAAAGAAGGAATTTCTTTCTATGCCGATATTTTGATATAATTTCAG